GGGCCCGGGGCCTGGGGACCCCGCGGGGGGCGGCACTCCGCCGGTACAGCAGGGCTCTTGGGAGGAGGAGGAGGAGGCTGTGGAGGAGGAGGCCGTGGAGGAGGAGGACTATGGGGAAGACCTGCCTGACAATCGCGGCCGGGCCCGGAGCAAGGCCCGCTACTGCGCCGAGGGCGGTGGCCCCGTCCTGGGGCGCAACAAGAACGAATTGGAGGGCTGGGGCCGGGGCGTCTACATCCGCTGAGGGGTGCACGCGGGGGGAGGGCGGGGGCTCACTGCTTGGCGGGCCTCGCCTGCGCCTCCGGGGGCCGCTGTCGCCCCTTTCAGATGCCTTTGCTGGTGTTGGGGTTTTCTGGGGTACCCGCCCGGCTCCCGGGCGCCCCTCAAGCCCCAGCGGTGGGGTTTCCTTCCCTGCTGAGGACATTTCCTCTCCGAAGTGTCTCATTTTCCCCGGCCCCAGAGAAAAGGTGCACTTCTAATCTACTCGGGGCTGTAAGTGAAAGTCCCACCAGGCGGCCCGGCTTCCCCAGCCCGCGGATGGACGCCTTTCCTGGAGGGGAGGCCGCAGAATCTGCCCCAGCCCCAGCCCGCCCGCCTCCGGGCGCGTTCGTTGTCCGCGCGTGAAAGCTACAGCTTGGGGCGGGGTCCGGGGTCCACGACGATCACCGCGCAGATGCAGCCCGTGCCCTCGCTGTCTGGGTGGCGCCCGGAGATGCTGCTCCCCACCCCTCACGCCTCCGCCTCTCGCCCTCCCACGAATGAGCTTCGCCCCCAGACCCCTGCCTGCCGCCATCCGCCCAGGGGGCTCTCTGCATCCGAGCCCCCCTCTCCGTGCCCCCGGGGGTGGAGACCTCATCTAAACCAAAAAAACGGCTCCTTCACCTTCACCCCGAGGCCCCAGGGGTTGCTTGGTGCCCAAGAGGTGACCCCGTCCCGGGGGTTGCTGGGGACCTCGGATCTCCCTGGGGAGCGTAGCTGCTGCTTCTCTGTTTTCGCCTCTTGTACTCCTGCCCCT